GAGTACCTGCCAGAGGGCAGGGGGGAGGAATGACAGTGTGTGGTCTGTGTTATTCTGGAGTGGGAGTACCTGCCAGAGGGCAGGGGGGATTGTCAGCAGCTCCCTGTCCCTCTGTTGTTCGACCTCTGTTCCCAGAGCGTCCCGGGACACACCAATATTTGATGGTTTCTCTGGTTCTGATTCTGTGTCGACCCAAACACTTCCACAAGCCTCACAAGTTCAAACTTTCTCTCTCTCTCTGTTTCTGTTTCCTGGTCCTCCTCAATCCTCAATCATTGCATCCCCCTTATCGGTACAACTCTCCCATCACCCTGGGCCCCTGGTCCTGTCCCTTTTGCTGTTGGAATGTGAATGTTGCTGGGGGTTGGGGGTGCGGGGATCGATGTCTGGCCCCTTGTCGATGTGCAATATCTCTCCACTTGGGGTGATGCTACCCACCTCCTCCTGGGTGGAATGAAAACCCGGGCCTGTGTGTCGGGACGTGGGTGGCATTGTGGGTGGCATTGTGGGTGCTGCGTCCCCCTTACCCACACTGGGTGGCTATCTCACCATCGATCCCCTCCCAGCCTCCCTGTCCCTCCCCTCTGCTCTCAGTCATGACACACCTCCTGTCCTTCCTTGAACAATACTCCCAAATGCAGCGTCTCCAGGACAAAGCATCCGAGTACAGGAGCTGGCTCCTCAAGGAAGAGGCCAGGAGTAGAAAGAAACGGAAGCTGCTCAGGAGAGCCTGCGAGCAGGAGATGAGGGATAAGACGAAGCTGATCGAGAATCTCCAGGACATTATCAATGAGCAGGAAGCTCTGGTGAAGAAACTACAGCTAGCAGGTGAGCTATTCCCCTCCTTCAGGGACTGCCACAGGGTCAGCAGTTTGACACTGCTGCACACAGACTCTGCCAATTCCCACAAGAAGGGTCAGCGTGCAAAGGCTATATCCAAATGCAGGGGGTCAGCACTGCAGGTGACGGAAATCAGAAACAGAAATCGCTGGAAATTCTCACCAGCTCAGGCACAACCTGTTCAGTCCTGAGGAAGGGTCACCGGACCCGAAACGTTAACTCTGACTTTTCTCTAAAGCTGCAAACAGATGTGCTGAGATTTTCCAGCAACTTCTTTTTCTGTACACGCAGAGTAAAAGGTTGTGTACACTGACAGATTCCAGCATCTGGATTTCGAGTACAACCCCCACACCCGCCACTACTATATCTCCATCAGCGCATCATAACATCAGCATAGAGTCAGTGCTAAGGGAGGGGGCACTGTCGGAGGGTCAGTGCTGAGGGAGTGCCGCACTGTCGGAGGGTCAGTGCTGAGGGAGCGCCGCACTGTCGGAGGGTCAGTGCTGAGGGAGTGGGCACTGTCAGAGGATCAGTGCTGAGGGAGTGCTGCACTGTCGGAGGGTCAGTGCTGAGGGAGCGCCGCACTGTCGGAGGGTCAGTG